CGGAGCAATGAGTTCTGAGAGTTCTTGCACTGCATCATTGTCACCATCTGCATTCCAATAGGAGATTTTGTTGGCATGGTACTGATCCATGACGTTGCCTTTTCCACTCCTATCATTCATACTGGTTAGCAGGCATTTTGTTTCTTGTAATTTCTTTCTATATTTTTTTTTTGCATGCCTCCTTTTCCAATAGATTTAAAAAAAAAAAAAAAATTATCTCATTGGCTGTCTTGCTCATCTGGTGAAAACATGAAGAAATAGCCTGCCAGAACAGCAGAACAGGAATTGTAGAGGCTTCCACCAGTTTAAAAGTTAGGGCTGAAATGAACAGGCACTCTGAAAGATGAGGCTGTTGATTTCGATTAGTTTTGATAGTTTTAAAATATAAATGTTTGCATCAGCTTTTAAAAATTTTGATGAAGATTTTAATCTATATTTTTGATTACTTTAAGAAAAAGCTCATTAAAGAGCAATTACCTAGACAGTGCAAACAAGAAGGCATTTCAGTGTATCTTCTGGGCAATTTGGTGTTTTGCTCTAGGTTGTTTAACCAGACTATATCGAAATCTTTACATAACATTGTCTAATAACCTTGGTATAACTTTTTTTTTCATGCTACTTAAATTCTTGAGCTGATTATCATCATCTTATGCCTTCATTTTAACAGATTAGTAAGGGTAGTCCTGTCCTTCTCTCATCTAAATAGTGATTGTTGTCACATTCTTGTCTGAAGTAAGTTCCCACATGTTTTCACTCCTCTGTTTGGTCTCACTGAAACATGGCACGTTTTTATCTTTATTTTCAAGATCCCTTAGGTCTTAGCTCAGCATACTCTCTGTGAAATCTCTCCTTCAGGACTGGCATGGTAACAGACATCTCACATAGGGTGTTGATTTTCATGAGTTCCATATTGAATTGTCCAAGACAGTCTGACCTATGAGTGTCTCACAAAGCTTTCCTTTATTTTTTAGAATTCCCCTTTTCTTTGTTCCACAGTAAACTGTTTCCCACCTATCCCAGGAAAAATAGTCCCATAAAGCAAAGGTGGGGCAGAGGGGGAACAAATCCTTCTGTTCCCTGCAATGAGACTTCTATCTACCATGATAAGTAGTATTTCTTACAATTTCCTTTTAATCCTCATTAGTGTTTCTATGCTTAGAGGTTTTGGCTGTAGATGGTTAGAGTTTTGTTTTTGAGACTGACTGATCCTGAGTTTCTGCTAGGGCTGTTGAAGAAATCGTTTCCTACAGAATCATTAAGGCACTTTAATTCTAAAGTTTTAGTTGATTTTTAATTTTTTTTTTTTCTGGAGAGAGTGTCAGTCTTGTTTCTGTATTGTAGCAGAAAGGTTTCCCTGTGGTATGGAAGTAGCCTGTAGGCGTAGAAAAATAGCTTGTCAGGCATCCCTTAGCTGTAAACGATCAGGAATTGTCAACTCACTGGTGAAGTCACTTGGAACATACAAAAAAATTTACAAGCAGACAAAAGCTTCTAACAAATGAGAGTGAAGGAAGGTGTAGCATGTGAAAAGGATTTTCACATGATTAATGCTTTAAAGAAAAAAGTTATGAAGTAGCTCTGGTTACTAGGACCGAAGAAGAAATTGAATCCTAAGTGGTCTGTATGATAGAAGCTGGCAATACCATGAGCATATATTTATAGGTGAGTTTTATTGTCTCCTTGTACTGCAAGACCTCTAAATTACTTTTTGTTGCTGGCTGATTTAATTATATAGTAAGTTTTGTTGGCATTGTTGTCAGCTCAAAGAAATAACTCTATTTGTGACCAGATTAAATATGAAGTACATCTAAGAGCAGAAAGGATTCTGAAGGCACAGCTTAATCTTATCAAAATTAAGATGTAATGAAGACATAAAAGCTAACTTACTTTTCTGTTTACTGTTATTCGTGCATTGCTGAGGTTGCTTAAACTTTCTTTCAACATTCCTACAAGATAAATTTTCCTAATTTCATGGGAAGTAAAAAAAAAATTTCTAAGCATTTTTAATTTGAGGAAAAGGTCAACATCGGGCCTTTTGGACATGTCATCTTAACATTGAGACCTGATTCTGTTATCTAAAAATTCACCTTGATGATACCAGTTAAGTCAAGAATGCTGCTTGTTGGAGGAACACAGCTTAAATCAAAGAATCAGTTATGTAAGAGGAAGAAGGTTTCATATGTGGAAAAGCAGTAGACAGCTCTTTATTCATATAAGTATTTTTTTAAAACTGGGCAATTCTTTGTAATTTTTACCCGAGTTCAGTTTAGAGGCACATTTCAGGTAGGAGACTCCAACAGAACAATGAACCTGTGGCATTGTATGCCACTAATCTAAATAATACTCCAAATGTAAAGACAGTAGGATTTCTGAAAGAAGAGAGGATAATTTTATTTTGGTGTGTAACTCATTTTATAATCTGCTAAATGCAGCATACGCTCGCTTTCATCTGTTTTTGTAGGTAGTTAGCTCCCCCCTTTCTTTTCTCTGTCTTGTTTGGAACAGTCAGATTTTATGTTGTTATATTGATTATTTATTTGATATAGCTCTATCTGTTCCAATTATCTGAAATAATTAAAAAAACTTTAAGGAATAAAGCTCCAGAGCACTGTAAGGAAGAAAATATTATTTCTAAATCCAGATAAGCTATAGGTTTTCAGATACATCCCCTAAAGACCTAACTCCCAAGTCGCATTTTAATGTGATTGAAACGACATTAACTTTTTCTCCGGGGCATTTGATTATTAGTATTGAAGAAGGGGTGAAAAGTGCAGTGGTGGTTGGAGAATATTAAGGAGTATATTACTGCAAGTCGATATTCACTTATGTCCTTAGCATCCGTGGTTGTGGGGTGCCAGACACAATACAATGAACGAGATGCTTGGTTCAAGCCAGCAGAGCATTTGTAGCTAGACAGAGAAGCTTTTCCTCTGATGGGAAAGAAAGAAGGGAGGAGTTAAATAAACAGTAGGCTTTTATGAATTTGATAAAGATTCTAAATCACTTGTATTAAGTATTGCAGGTTTCTAGAGTACAGAAACGGGAAACTGTAGTATAGAGAATCAAAAGTATAAAGCTTTCTGTAATTTACCTGTTTTCAAATGTGAGTTTTGTTGTTGTTGTAGTTTTATTTTTATTTTAGTGTCTACTGTAAGTCTAGTACTGTCTTCCATGCATGTAAGAGGTCACATATGCTTACAAAATATTACCTCTGTATGACTCCAGCTGTTAGATGGTTAAAGTGCTGTACAAAGACATGTGGCATCAAATAGAAATTCACTCGCTTAGCAGGTGTGCTGCAGGGACTAATCTTGTATCTTAATGAAATAAAATGCATTTTTTAAGGAACAAGCAATAAAAGATGAGGTTGGTCAATAAAATACTTTTGCAGTCATGATGGCAGTGGAGCACTGAATGCCTCTGTGGTAATTGGAGTTAAATAAGGGCAGGCTGTAGTGGAGAGAGCATATTCGAGCTGTATGGAATAGAAGTAGACTGGAAAGGTAAACTCCTGGTTAGCCTTTTACACTAAAAAAACCCAATAAAATATTAAAATCAAGTTGGAAAACTGACTTCATGCTGCAATTCAATTAATTTTTAGAAGTGAATGCTCGGAATTCTCAAGGCCAAAAGCTTCAAGAAAACCTTCCAAGAAAGATGTGATGGGATATCTAGAAGGTTTCCTACTTCTCTGCTGCAGGAGGATTTTCCTCAGCAGTTGTGTATTGTGGTCAGGCTTTTCTTCCCCCTCTTCCCACCATTTTTCTTTGGTGGTGTGGTTCTCCTGACAGGTATGACAATGAAGAGAAATTCAGGACAGTAATGTGTGGCTCACCCCCCTTTCCCAGGATGTGCAGTGGCAATGAATAAGACATTAGCTGGGTATGTTCACTTAATGATCAGCCATTAGCAATTGGCATCTAATGCCTCTGGTTGAGCTTAGAGTCAGCACTCCCTGACAGAATGACAGGTTTTTACAGTACCCATTTTGGCCCTGTCTTAAAATCAAGGTGGTCTCTGCAAACAATTGCTCTTTCTCTATTTGTATTCTGGTCTGTTCCTTGAGGAAAGATGGGAGATGGGTGTTCTGGGCACAGTTCCTGTAGCTGGATGTACAAGGCCACAGCAACCTCCTGGCAAATACCAACTAAACTGAATAAAACTTTGGTGCATGAAATGCAAGGTGCTGTAGGTAAAGGGTAGTAGATATATCTTTATATATATATACTTTACATATATATACACAAGCATATATATATATATATAATGGTAATTTAGTTGTAAATTATAACATAAAAATGTGAATTCCTAGCAAGGTGATTCAGCACACTTTACATTTTTCATCCACATCCACGAGTGTTTCTTTAAAATACCATTTGTTAAAAATAATTCTGCAGGTTATTTGCAGAGAAGCTGGAGACAGGAATTTGAGGCAAGGCAATCCTAGGGGGGGAGATGGTGATGAGAAGGGGGTGAGCAACTCCCGTTGCATTGACTACTTATGTTACACATGGACAGGTCATTCAAAAGAGAAAAGTGCTTTGTTTTTACAGCCTTGAAAGTAAAGCCTTAAATTCTTTCTAGCTTGGAATATTTGTTTTCAAATTTTATACACTGCACTTACTGGAGATAACTCACTTGGAGGTGATTTCTTTGATCCAGGCCTTTTTATTGATTGTGTGTGTATTTATTGTTTGTATTTTTTTACTGTACTTCTTATATTTTTTTTTAAATTTTTTTTTTTTTTTTTTTTTGCTTCGCCATTACTGAAACTATTTCCCAGTTTGGTGGAATTTCAATGTATTTGAATGCTCAGATCAGCACAGCTGTTTGTTTTGTTGCTTTTATGTTACTTTTGCTATTATTTAAGAATGGCAGTGTTCATTTTTATGTATTTTAATGTTTTTATACTTTTATTGTAGAAGTTTGTTTTCTTGTAAGTAACTGCTTGAAATTTGAACTTTTTACATAGTAACTATTCTTGCTTATTGTTTGTATAGGGGAAAATGCAGCGTTGCACTTCTGAATGAGACAGAATCTGTGCTATCATACCTGGAGAAAGAGGTAATTGTGTTTTCTATTCAAGTAAATATTGGGATAAGTTTGTTTTTCTTTCTGTGTTTTTAACAAATGGGCAACCAATACTTTGAAAATCGTATCTCGGATGATAGGTTAGAAAAATTATGTTGTTCAGAAAACAGATTTAAACAGTATTATTGGATAAAAATGTGATTTACACACTTAATTGATAAGTTTATTATGAATCTGTTTGTATTTAGAAAATAATTATTTTGAAGTAATTAATATGGTTTCTTACAGACAAAAATATAGAGATTTTTTCCAGTGGCGAATACTGAATGGAGAATTCACATGGTGCTTTGGTTTTTCCTCCTTATTTTTTCGTTTTTTTTTCTTTTATTGTATGGAAAGTATCTCCTTACCTTCCTCTGGAAGATACTTAGGATGTTTAGCTTTACCAGAGAGGAAGAAAATTCCCCAAGAATTTAAAAGATTGCAAAATACCTTTAGAATAAACATATTTTCCTTTGGAATGCCTTAATATAGCATCAGGAAGGCAGTGTTTTTTAACTGAAATTAACATGTCTTAATTTTTAAATTTCTACCCCAAACCACTGATAATCAGTAAAAGTATTTTTGAAAGCAGGATTTGTTCTATACTTATGTGACTATATCACATTTGCCAATACTATTTTAGTGCCTGAGAAGGGTTTACACAGACAGTGTTTTATTTTTTGGGGGATTAATTTTTAATGGAAAGTCAGTATGGTAGAGATATTTATGAGTGCAAACATTTTAAATTCATAAAGCAGTTAGCATTAATTCTCTTCAAATCCACTGATATAGTTTTGTGTACAAATCTTTTCATTATTGTTCTGTTCTGAAGTAAGTCCTAACAATGAGGAAGTCTTAATTAGCATTTTAAAAGCACTCATGAAACATCTGTATTATGTAAAATAAAGATTTATGATGTACCAAATCTGTGTTCTGTAAAATATGCAAATTTCCAAATGGAAGGTGTTACAAGTTTGCAAACCTAATTTTAAAAATTATTATGCTGTTGCAAATATGTCTTATTTTTTAGGATGCTTTTTTTTATTCATTGGTGTATGATCCATCATTGAAAACGCTTTTAGCAGACAAGGGAGAAATCAGAGTGGGGCCTAGATATCAAGCAGATGTGCCAGACATGCTTGTGGAAGGTAAATACTTGATCTTTGATTAGTGAAAAAAATAAAAGTCCTCATATTGCATTATTGCTCATGCTGACTTTCTCAACTAAGTGAATACATAGAGACAGACAAAGTAAGAAGGTAGGTCTGAGAATTTATGAACACCAGTAGATATTATGGAAAAAGAAAGGATACTTGAATAACTGTTGAACATATGTCCATTTCCAGTCTGTGCATAGGCATTTGATATTTGTTTATTTAATTATTTATTTAATATAAGCTGCATTGAGAAGATATTTAGGACCAACTCATTTGTAAAATGATAACACTGTAGTAAAACAAGTGAAAAAGATATTTCTTCTTTCCCTTATAAAGCAAACAATGCATAGAGAATTCAGATTTTTGCGCCTTCTTATTTCAAAATATTGTCTTTCTTTAAAGCATCTTCTCTGTTTTGTAGCAGGATTGAAACAACCATTTCTACCCTTGGCATAGCTTTACAATCACTGATATTTTTAATATTTTATTTTATTTATTTATAGCCTAGCACAACTACCATGCCTTAGTCTTTTGCTACATAGAATTATTCTTTTAAACAAAATTTCAAGTAAAATATTTATTTAATGTTTGGATCATATTTAAGAAGCATGAGTAACTGTGTCTTGTTATGTTTACAATTGTATTTGCTAATTAAATTTTTAAAAAAGGAAAAATTTCTTTGGGAAAATCTAGATGTAGATACTATTTTCAAGAGTCATGGTATTTATTCTTTAAAAAGAAAGGATTATGTGAGAAAAACACCACTTGCAGTAAGTCCAAGGAGTTCTGAATGCCCCAAATGTATATATTTGTAACCTTAAATGTTGTGTTTTTTATTCAGCATGATGTATTTTTTTTTTGCTGCTATACTTTTTCTTTTGCACAAATCTCCCTATTATTTCTAATTTCTACAGAGCTTATTTAATAACTGTATAAAACAAGAATAATTTGATTTCTGGCAAGTGACAGATTATTTTACAATGAATGCTATTTAATAGATCACCTGCATTATTATTCTGACTTTCCTTTTAATAGCCAGAAATAGACTATAGGAAGTCACTTCAGCTTTGTTTATAAAGTATTCAGACTTGTTTCAGAGCAGGTTTATGAATAGATTATGACCCACTGATATTCTTACTGTAAAATCTACCTGCCATAGGGAAAAAATAGTCCTGTAGATGTTCATATGCTCAGGAAGAAAGCTTGCCAGAGGGCTGATGTGAGGATGGCTGTCTCGATGTGTGCTAGAGGCAACTGGGAAGTACTGATCTGATTCCCAAGTACCTAGCTGAACTGTAGGGTTTTTAGGACAAGCTAGGGTCATCTGCCAGGCAGGAAGTCTTTTCCTACTGAATTCTTTTTACTTAAATTACTAAAGACAGAGGCTAATTATGAAATAGTGAGTATTACATATGAAGGAATTTTTTTCCTGTCCAAATTTTACTTATTTGATTTTTTTTTTCCCTGAAGTTAAAATCCATATTCATTTAAACTAAAGTTAGCAAGTTCTTCTGGAGCTTAACATTTTGAGTGAAATCCTTGGTTTAGTTAAAATGAGTAGATAATCTCTCTCATACATCATGAAGATAGGATTTCACTGTGTGTTACTGTCTTCTTTTTCTCACACCCCACTAACCCCCAAAATGCAATAAGTGTTGCAGTTTTCTTGCTGCCTTTAGTAGGGAATAATAATCCATCAGAGCTGAGAAGCACGAAGCTGCTCACAAACCAAGGATCTGTTGGTGCATGAAACACTTGATGAGTTGGGTTGGATTAATCTGCACTTATTTCAAGTGGCTAGTGGAAAAAAGAGTTTAGTTTTGGGAAGATAAAAATATCTGAATTATGGTAGTTTGGACTGATTTTTTTTTTCCTAAATGTTTCCATAGCCCTCTGACCTCTAAGGAAAAACAAAAGATGATTGAGCTGTTGCTTTTGTGTCTTTATGTAAGCTGACAGCCTGGAAGTTAATCCATTTACTGTCAAGCCCTTTCTTTCATGAAAACAAATCTAAACAATGTTTAAAATTAATAGATTAGAAAAGCTGTATTTGGAAACTGTGGTATTCTGTGAAGATTTTTGTCTTTATGTACGTTTTTCAGCCTGTAATGTTAAAAGTGGCTTAGTGATGTGTATCACCAAATTATTGTGCTCTAATGTATAACTCTTTAAAAGTGTAGAGACGTCACCTGAAATGAAAAGAATTTAGGCAACCTCTCGTCAGTTCGGAAAAATCAGATTTTATGTTATCTAATAATAGTATTATTGGATGATATAAAATGAAAATAAAATAAAAAGCATTCCTAAATTTGTTCACACATGAAACTTGTTCTGAAATCTAAAGGAAGAATAGCTTTTGGGAGGTGGTTGGTAGGCAAATTTCATATTTGAAGAAAATCCCCAAAACAAAAGAAAAAATAAATAGACAAATCAAAGATTCACACACCAGCAGTTGTTTTATTTTCAATGTTACTGGCATATAAATCCAGTTCAAATTACTAAAGACAGTTTAGATTAGCTTTCAGAAGGCCAGTCATAACATGGCTGAAAAGTAAAAAGATGTTCTACATGTATGAAATTAATTTGTTGTAAATACACTGATGAATTCTGGTAGATTAAATATTCAAATTACTTGCACTTTCTCCATACTGTGATAACTTATATTTTATCTGAATAGACTATGGTGTTTTTGTCTCGGTTTATTTTATATTTATTGGACAACTATGTGTGTTTTTTGTAGGAATAATTTTTTTTTCCCTTGCTTTGGTGTTGCCATTTCTCGAGTAAAATGTACTGCAAACCCAGGTGATTAGGTCATAGTTGGGATAATGCAGCATACCTGCTTCTCTGTGCCTCAGGGATGTATTGGATAAATTTATATTGCTCTTTAATTTTTGAAACGAAAGGAACATCTACTTTCAAAAGACTGAAAGGTTTATTAAAATCAAGATGCATGATAAAGTTTTCCAGATTGAACTCTTTTCTGCTTTTCCACTTTAGGATACAATGAATCATAAATCCTTTACACAATTGCAGTAAACAAATGTAAACAAAGTTTAAATTTGGTTGAAAATGCATAAGCCTTGTAAATCCATGCCACTTTTGTTTGTAATGGTGTAGCTAAATCGCCTAGATCACACATTTAGTGAAGACTGTAACTTTGGAGAAAGACCAGAGCAGATTTCTTTCTGCAGTCTCTTCCGACTTTTGTTGTCACCATTCTTGGGAGTAAAACTTGGGAGTAAAAGTTGTCAGATTTGAATGATCTTGTGTTTGTGTGAAGTCTTTCGTCCCCCCCGTGCCAAGTGTTACAGTCTGTCTGCAATCTAGTTTGAAGACTTTTAGAGTCTTTTTAGTTAAGATATGCTGGAAGAGGGGAGATTCTTCTACAGCATTGACTCAAATTCTGGCTAGCAGGATACTGAAGAATGTCCTTTCTTTGTTTTAACAACACTTTCTCCAGTGGCTTATTCTGTGGATGTAGCAGCTTGTTTTCACATCTGTTTCCAGCATGGGGTAACATTCTTCTCTGTGCAAAGCAAGAATAAAAGGGTTTATCTCTGAGAATCAAGAGCATGAATTTGGGCAAGGAGGATCTTGTTTCTGTGGAACATCCTTACTCCACAGTACAGGAGCAAGGAATCTGGTTCTATGCAGGTAATGGCCAGAAGCTGCTGTGTGGTGCACTCACCTACAGTATTTGATCAACAACTTTTTAAAATCTGTGACTAGTAACTTCAATAAACAAAGCTAAAACCCTAAACAAGCAAGAACAAAACCCTGTACAGTGTTGGTTTAGGCAAGTCATTATTATTGTTACTTGGTTACAAGGCGTACTTTTATAAATTGTTCTGAATATGATCAAATTATCACCTTTAACTAACAGATTTTATTTAGTCATGTTTTGTGTACAGGAAGATTGCACCCAGGCAAACTACTTTAGATTCTTGGTAGACTTTTATATAACATTGATTCTTACTTGTCTCACAGCTTTAAAATCCAAATGTTTTTAAATTCTGGCATTTCAATCAGTGTGTCTCATGCAGTGGAACAACTGATGCAATGGCAGGTTGTTTTACATGGTTGGCTAAAAAAGCAGAGAATGAGAGAGAAAAGTGCTAGCATGGCATTAGGGATATAGTTGATGAAGTAGGATAATGCTTAAGAGTGGGAGAAACGGGAAAATTTTTGCTCTGTAGGAGTTCATCTAATACATTGTTTTTCCTGTCACATGCCTGCACTGCTCTTTCTGCCTCATGCATGCCATCATAGGCCTAACTGCAGCTGTCACGCAATTTAAATACATTTGCACAAAAAAAGAATTCATGACAGCTTAGCTAAACAAATGCAATTGAAGTCATGTTGCAAATAAGGAAGCCGATTGTTTACGGTAGTATCATTTGCGAAATCAGTAATTTCTTAAGTAATGCTGACTTCCATTCATTCATCCTGTTGTGAATCAAGTGGAAAGGCCTTAACCAAGTCAGAAAAGGTCAATAATTGTTTTTCTGTCTGTCAAGGCTCTATTAAAACTTCTGAAGCAAAGGATATTTTCTAAATATATCTAACAAAAAAATTTATCATGGCTGCATTCTGGGCATGCTATGTAAGTTCCAATTATTTTTTTAAAGTACTTTATCAATATTAATTTTCTCATGTTGCATTTGATTTTGTGTACCAAGATCTGCTAGAACAGTGTGGTGCTAGGCAGTGTAAGATGTTTGAGTGTTGAAATCAGCATTTTCAAAAAAGCAGCCCAGCAGTGTAGGAAGGACCATGCTGAATCACACAGCTGTTTATCCCTGCAGTAGATCTTGTCACTTGGGGCTTCTTAGTTTTCTTAAAATTTGTTTTAAAACCTATTAGAAATCCAGTGGGCTGTCACCTTGATCTTCCTTATGAACCTCTATGATACTTTTTCAGCACTTGAGGATTTTTCTTTATTAAATGTTGACCACTGTGTCTTGGTTGCAATTCTGATTAATTTGGCT